TTACGCCCCTGCCTGGGGCCCTAAATGGAGTACTAGGGTGAAATCGGGACTTACTCTCTTTTAAAAAAAAGAGTGAATTTTCACTCTATTTTCACTTTCTTGGGAGTGATGTCCGTGATCACTTGTTTAGGAGTGAAAATCGATAGATTTTAGAGGCTCTCTAAGAAGAAAAGAGTGAATGTTCACTCTATTTTCACTACATTTTCACTCTTCAGAGGAGTGACGTCTGTGCATGATCACTAGATTTTTTTTTAGAGAGTAGACGACGAGAGCGTGGACTGCCGCGTGTGACATTGTGTTAAGGCACTTATAGGAGACCAGCCTGTAGGTCCCGTGACCAATCTCGGGGAACAAAGGTTTGAGAGTGTTTTTGTGTTCCCTGATGAATACCAAACAATTTTGACTTGGGCTGCCCTACTTGGGACCTACAGGCTGGTCTCCTACTAACTGGGCCGTGCCCGGCAGTGCCTTAAAAGGACGTCACATTACCTTAAAAGGATGTCACACGTGGCGGTCCACGTTCACGTCGTGTAAATCTAAAAGACCCTAATGACGGCAAATCGCAGTCAAACTACTTCATGACGATGAAAATCAAAGTGCAATTTCAAGAGCAATACTTTTCCTAGCCTGTCTCAAAATGTAACAAAATTACCGTAGATGACGAAGACTATTACAGCTTTTACAACATTAATGACTAAATTCACTTAATCTACTCATATTTCAATCAATTACTCACCCATTCTCAGGGAACTAAATCTCCTCAGTTTGTGCGAGTAGCGTCGTGCATACATCTGCATAAAATATGTTTTCTGACATAACAAATTGAAATAAGCAACTTTTAAAATCAAAAGTGGTTGCCATAACCTTGATATTTCCCCCAAACCCATGGATAAAAAGTTGTTAGATGTTTGTCTACGAAACGGCAGCCATTTTGAATGTACATGGTCAAGGTAAGCACTTTTACTTTTGAAATTTATATAGTGAATTTGCCTACCCTAAAATCATAGAATCGGACAATGTTAACTGTGTTGGTGAATTTCTAAAGTGCAATGACCTTTTTGACCATAGCGCCCTCATTTAAAGTCGGAGGTATAGCAAACTATACATTTTTGGAAACCTTATGACCAGACGAGTAATTTGATATGCAATTGATAAGGTTAAATGTGTTGGTGAATTTGACCACCAGCCGAAAGTGTGTTGACCTTTCAACAGTTTTGACCATAGCGCCCTCATTTAAGGTCGGAGGTATAGCAAACTAATACATTTTTGGAATCCTCATGACCAGACGAGTAATTTGATATGCATATTGACACGATTGGGACTATTTGAATTTTTATCCCTGTGTGACCTTTGTTTACCCCTCACGAAAATGCCCGGGATTTTCAAGGGGGCAGCCCAAGTCAAAATTGTTCGGTATTCATCAGGGAACACAAAAACACTTTCAAACCTATGTTCCCAGAGATTGGTCACGGGACCTACAGGCTGGTCTCCTTCTAGTTTCCTTTGATTAGGGTGAAGCTTGTAATCGAATCTGTTATGTCTCAATTGAGCCCACAAATAACCAGACAGTATATAAGGACATGTCATAATCGGTATAAAATACCAGGTACCCGCACCTTTTCACAGATCTCTCTCTCTCTCTATCTCTCTCTCACTCCCTCTCTCTTTCTCTCTGTCCCCTCTCTCTCTCTCTCTCTATTTTTCCCTCTCCCTCTTTATTTGAAAAGGCATTTTGTGCGGTCTTTGAAGTGCAGAAGTGACACAGTGGCTCCTGATTGTGCCGCCCCGCCCTGTTCGAGCCTTACTTTGAATACAGTCGATTATAAATACGTGTGATTTGTCTGTTTTATTACAGCACATTGTGGAGGAAAGGACTGGATTTCCCTACGCATCGGAGCACTTCTACCTTAAAAACTAGCATAACTTACAATAACCTGCATTTATCATGGCTCTTGTATACCGGGCCCTTAAAAGAAAAAGTGTCGTTATCGTGTTGATCTGTTTGGTGGCGTTATGTTACTGTCTCATCGGCGCTAGTCAGACCAGTCAAATTCCAAAAGGCTTGACTCGGAATGGGACATTACCAACTGACAAAATGAGTTTATCTACTATTCTCACAAAATACATGCGGTCTTTAGACCGCTCACCTCAGAACACTACACGGAATGAGGACACTAGAAGTTGGCTAGAACGTACACATTGGGAGTCTAAGATTGATTACCACATGTATCACTATCTAATTAATCCCAAGGATAAGTGCAACTCCAGTGGCCTGGTGGTGGATATTTCCGGAAACTTGACATTACTTGTCCTGGTGAAATCAGCACCCGGTAACTCCGAACTGAGGGATGCCATCAGGAATACCTACATTCAGGGAGCCATAAAGTACAATGTGTCCGCTAGGATCTTGTTTCTCCTTGGATTCCAAGCACATGGTGAAGTGCACCAAACGGATATCGTCAAGGAGGCTGAGACCAATGGGGACATCATCCAAGAAGACTTCGAAGACTCTTACCACAACCTTACCATCAAGGTCATCATGGGAATCAAATGGGCCATGACATTCTGCGGTAACAGTCACTTCGTGATGCTGACGGACGACGATGTCATGTTTGACATCTTGACCCTCGTCGAAGATCTGTCAAAGGCATACCCAAAACATCACTCGGAATTTGTACTAGGTGAGGCAACGTACAATGCCATTCCCTCAGAGACCCAAATGGCAACTTTAAGAAGTTCTACACTCCAAAGACACTGTACCCTCAGGCCAGGTACCCGACATACCCGCAGGGGTATGGGTACATCATTTCAAGGGACGTCGTACCTCGGGTTTTCCAAGCTTCCAAGGAAATACCCCCTCCTGTACCGTGGGAAGATGTCTACATGGGTGCTCTACTCCAGAAAACTAGGATATCCATAACAGATAAGTTACCCTGGTATAGAGAACGACACCCTGTCAAAACGGCAATACCGAATATGCTAGTTCCTCACAATGACTACTTCATGATACAATTATCGAGTGCTAAAATGAAGACAGTTTGGGATGCAATTGAGAGCGCGTTCATCATCAATGCGAATAACTCTGTGCATTAGGATAATAATTTTTGAGGTGATGTTAATTGTTATCGTATAATTGTTTTAAATGGGGGCACGCTACAAGAGTCATATCTCGCACCCCGGGGCAACGTGTCTGACACGGCCGGTTGTATAGCAACTACTCCGAAGATCAAGACATTAATCTTGATCTAAGGAGACACGAACGAACGAATACTACTCATTATCAGTGGCAGATTCAGAGGATCTGCCAAAATCTTAGATCAAATGTATGTTTTTCTTTGACATGTTGACCTTCGTGGCAACATAATGAGATGGGAGGGGGGGGGGCATTCGTACATGTACATGTACATGTACATTCAAAGGTTCGTTATTCCGAAAGTTCTTTATTTAAACGTTCATAAATTAAAGCCGAAATTTAGCCTTCAGTATTCCGAGGGCTAATAATCTGATAATGAAGTAGGGTGCATAATTCTGGGAATAATGTAAAATCGCATTTAATTTTCATAATTTAAAATTGATGAATTATAATAACCCCTATTTTATTTTTTAGAAATTATGAACCTTCGAAGTTAAAAAAAAATCTTCGGATTAATGAACCTTTGTATTCAGGAACATTAGGGGGGGAAGAGGCATGTAACTTATAGGACGGGCGTATAGCCCTGTACTTTTTATAATATAATTAATGAATTTTGTACAAATATTGTATGCTCCGGCATTTAATATAGAATAATATATGAACCGACAAATTCAGAATTTGTCGAATTATGCTAGTTCACCATTGGCTCAGGGAGTCGTATTTTTCTTTTCTTAAGTGAATTTATTTATTTCACATGAACGAATGTATAAGAAAACAAGCAACATAACGAAATGGAGGATATTACATCAAGAAACAATATTATAAAAATTGTAATAGTTTAGTTACATTATTAAATGACAATCGAACAAATGACAGTTCGAACGTAATTGAAGGTGAGACGATGCATAATGTTTACGTGTCCTACCCGAGACGAAAATCCAATTGAATCCCCATTGAATGTCCCATTGAATCCCAATTGGCAATTTGGAGTAAATGGAAAGTGAAACAATGGGTACCCATTAAAACCAATTGGCAATTGGTCCCCATTGAAACCAGCTAGCAATTGGTCTTAATGGGGACCAATTGCCAATTGGTTCCAATGGGTACCCATTGTTTCACTTTCCATGTACTCCAAATTGCCAATTGGTATTGAATTGGGATTCAATTGGGGCATTCAATGGGGATTCAATTGGGGCATTCAATGGGGATTCAATTGGTAAATCGATCCAGTTAGAAGAACCAATGATAAATTACTGATACTTCATAATCGATATTGGCAACTGTCCACCAATTCGGTATATTCCAATCTCATTTGCATTAACTTCATCACATAGATCATTTGAAGTGAATTCAAGAGTTACATTTACAGTGACACAGGCTCGGACACATATAGACTATATATACTAAATATGCATGTTGTTTCTTGGTTAGTAGCCTAATCATAGATCTATAATCAATATATCTATTGCTAAAACGTGAATGTAATTGTAACATGATCAGACAAAATAATCTATTGGTTAATAATTGCCAGAGGAAAATAGAAATCACAAAATTGATGTGCATTGTCATAATTTGCTTAACAAATCATGATAAATTTATTTTTCTGTGACACGTGTAAAGTGATAATGAATATTCATGAGATGCCTAGATTTGTTAGTTTCTATGGTTTCTGTTGGTTTCTATTGGGCCTATTGGTCATATTGTTTTTATTGGTCTTATTGGTCCTAATGGTTTCTATTGGTCCAACTGGTTTCTATTTAGCATTGGTCCTATTGGTTTATATTGATTTCAATTGGCCCTATTAGACTTTAATGGAATTTCAATTGGTCCAATTGAAACCAATTGGGGACCCATTAAAGTCTAATGGGCAACTGGGGCCTAGGCCAATGGGGCCAATCTGGACCAATTGAAACCAATTGGGGACCCATTAAAGTCTAATGGGACCTATGCCAATGGGGCCAATGGGGCCAATTTGTCCAATGGGGCCAATCTGGACCAATTGAAACCATCTGAAGTCCTATTAAAGTCCCATTGAAACCTGTTAAAACCTATTGAGACCTATTGAAACCAATTGAAACCAATTGATACCAATTGAAATTTCAATTGGTGTTCAATTGGTTTCAATTGGATTTTCGTCTTGGGATAGCAACAACTAATGCGAGAAATCTACCCGCAACAGTACCAATATAGCCCTATTCATGCTATTCGTAACACTTCGCCAATAGGAAAATGTGTATGAAGCTGAATTCATCATGAACATGGTCCACAGCCTGGTCATACAGTGTAGTACTCAAATGAGTATTACATAATCAACGTAACACTATACGCTAGGCTGGTACCTGTATCATGATTAATTTTGTGAGGGATGTTATGTGGATCTGCAAAGGCCGATTTTATACCCAAATCCCAATTGTTTTATTCAAACATCACATAAGCAACTTTGGCGCAAGTCCATTTTTGCACTCTCGCAAACAATGCCACCTGTTCATCAAAGCGTGAACACATTCCACACAAAATGATACTAAATGATTCGGGATAAAACACCCTTTCATAAGATGTATGATAATTTACTGTGCATAGAAGATTTTTAAAATAATTAGCAATTTTCTAGGTGTAAACTCGTTTTGACTCACACTGTATATCTTTATCTCTCATGCTCTCTTTTTCCTTTTCACTCCTCTCTCTCTCTATCTTTCTCTCTATTCTGTCTGTTATATCCTATCCTAACAGTCTGTTCTTTTCCCTTTTCCCCAGGCCTCCTCTCTCTCTCTCTCTCTCTCTCTCTCTCTCTCGGAATTTAGCAGTGTTATAGAGTGATTAGACAATTATCGTAATGTAATCAAATTTAATGCACAACACTTTGTTAAATGTCCCATTTGCAGGCCAAACAAAAGAAAAGGTAAAATTTCAAAGTCATTTGAAATACAATACTAATTTAGAACGTCCCTCAAAACGAAAGGACTTGGATATGGCTTTTAGTGGGAAACTAACGACCATTAGTTGAATCAACTCTAGTGATTGCAATCACCTAAGTAATGATCTGATTTTCAGACCCTTCTACCGAATGGTCGTACGTTTTGTGCTGCGCAAAGATTCAATCGGTTTAATTTTGGCCATTTAAAGTAGTGAGTAATTGATGTAGACAAATGCTCATGTACCTGTTACAGCTCATTTTATGGTATTACCAAATAAAAAAAGCCAGTCACTCAATAGTGTCTGACAGTGAAGTATAGAAGATTAACGGGTGTCCTTGCATAATTTCATTACTAGGACACTGCTAATGTTTAAATTTCACAGATAGGACTTACATGACATATTCTTAATTCTTGCAGAATTCTACAGAATTTGATGTTGGCTGCAAAACGGACTTAGTCTCTTTAAGTGCCATGTTATGAACAATTACGAATAATTTTATTTCAAGGGTCAGAATACGTATTACATATATTACGTTTTGTCAGGTAGGACAACCAAAGATGTTTTTCCTACCTAGCAACAATTAATTTAAAGATAAAGTTGAGTTCTGGTCATGTGATTGCATTGTGAAAGAAACGGTGTGCAATCTATCAGAAAAGGTTGATCATCTAGTATATAAGTATTCGTGTGTATTGCAATGATAAGAAATTTTGCCAAATCTTGGCAAAGTTACAAGCACTGTACACAGAATGATGTACATGTATATGGGACTACACGAGCACATGGCGAAAAAACCTACCCCCCCCCCCCCGATTTTTACGATGTTTCATGTCATATTTAGAATATGAAGGCATTTGAAGAGCCATGCTTTTCAGGGAACAAGTTTAATCTGATGTTCTTCCACCCTTGCATAATAACAATGCTAACGCTCATAAATTGTTTTTACCTCTTCCCAGAACTCAACCTTCTCTTTAAGCAATGCGCGTTCTGACCATTGAAATAATAATTATTCGTAACAGGTAAATAATTAATTTGTAACGAGGCACTTCACAAAGATTTGGACAGATGAAGTTGAAGGTGAAGTTGAGTTCTGGTCATGCGATTGCATTGTGAAAGAAACGGTGTGGAACCGACCAGAAATTGTTGATCATCTAGCATATAAGAATTTGTGTGTATTGCAAGGTTCTGGAATCATCAAAATGATAAGAAATTTGGCCAAGTCTGGTAAAGTTACAAACACTTGCACAGAAAGATGTATATGAGACTACACGAACACGTGGCGTAAAAAGCCGCCCCCCCCCCCGATTTTTACGATGTTACATGCATATTTAAAATATGAAGGCATTTGAAGAGCCATGCTTTTCAGGGAACATGTCTTAACTGTTCTTCCACACTTGCATAATAAGAATAAGTAATGTACACAAATTATTTGTTACGGGTCGACGAAACCTCGTGACGTTATTTCAATATGTCGTAGCGTACTAAATGTTGAATCATGACATTAGTCACCAAAAGAAGTGAGATCAAATTCTGAATAAATTTGAAATCTTCATTTTTTTTTTATTCAAAAAAAAGAAAAGAGAGAGAAAGACAAAAAAAGGAGAAAATGAAATGGTAGGGCCTCTTAAATGACGCTGTTTCGAAAAGACTCATTGACTGACTAGGATTTAAATCACCGTTTTATTTAATGTTCTGAATTATTTATTTTGAAAAGACGGATCATATATCACTCTGTAAAGTTATTTTACATGCATAATGCCGTGACAAGGCCAATTTTCCACATTTTGTTTCTTTTTAACCTGAAAATTTACATGTATATCATATTTATGTACTCTCACTGAGAGGGATAAACCATTATTGTACTGCCCAAAATATTCATTCGTCACTAAACATTGTAATTTGGGTATAAAGGCACACTACTAGAAAGTATGGGGTACCATAAGAATGGGGCCGAATTATATGAAATGAAAGCTATACTATAAAAACAAACTGCATCACTAAACATTTTCAATATAAGTGTTTGTGAAAGACGGTAAATGAATGATTGTGAATAAGTATGTTTCGATATAATTATTTATAAGACATATAAACATTATTCTAAAACCGAGTTAGTATTTACATGGACGTAAGACATTTCTTAAGGAGAGTGTTATATCAATGTGCAGTTTATAGCTCAGCCTGTGTTTTTTTTTTTAGCGACATAGCGAGTTTCCAGCCATGGGGGGGGGGCACTTTGCGAATTAAGAAGGCAATAGCTTAGGGGCACAATGCGGTAGGGGTTGCTCCCCTCTCTTTTTCCCCATTCTCTATTCTCCCTCTCTCTATCTCTCTCTTTCTCTCTCTCTCTCTCTCTATCTATATATCTATCTATCTCTCTATCTATCTCTCCCTATTTTACTATTCGACTGGGGGGGGGGGGGGGACGTGCCCCCATAACTCCAAACGTCGTGACTGATGGTGCCGACAGCTCACAACTTGTTGTCGTCCGTTTAACTTTTCCGTTTACTGAGAACGTAGAGGGCAGCAGGTAAGGTGAACGTGAAGATATCACCAATTATGAATGCAATGGTCACCTGCATGGGATGATGATATTAGGAATGAATTCGTAAGTTATTTCGAGTATATAATTGTGACATTATTGGTCAAAATCCACATAATTATCATGTAGGCTGCTTTTGGTTATAACTATAACATATGACAACTGGCAAAACCGGGGCCCCGTCTTACAAAGAGTTGATATTGATCCTAAATCAATCACAAATTTGCAGTTTCCCATCTCTTATATGTACATAGTTGTGATTGATATCAATCACAAATAACGTGCGATTGATATCAACTCTTTGTAATACAGGGCCCGATGTCAGGTCAAGTTGATGAGACACGCGCCCCCAGTTACTTCGCCACTGGTAATAATTGCAATTTTAAGTTGTTTACATGCAGTCTCACTGGGGTAAATAACAACTGTTTTTGCTCACCCAAAAAGGGTCATCATCGAGATATTTCTGGAGCAGGATGAAGATTGGGTACTGGAGTAACGTGAAGAATCCACTGATGGTTCGAAGGGCTCCGTAAACACTGACAAAATACTTCATTGGAAATCTGCGACGTCACAAAAAAGCGGGAAAAGAATTCGATTCACACTCACATGCAGTGTTAAAGATATAGACCAGTTTTGGAAACGACCCCTCTCAGGCTCAAAAAATGAAATGGATGCTCTTATTACCAATCATGTGAAAGAAAATTATTTTGACTTATACGTGATGATACAAATTTTGCCGGAAAACCGCCTTTTAATTGATATATTGGGTGAAATTATCATATCTATCCGGCTTGGATATAGATATCGCGTAGTCCCATATACACCTTTCTGTGTACAGTGCTTGTAACTTTACCAAGACTGGGCCAAATTTCTTGCAGTACACACCAATACTTAATGTACATGCTTGGTGATCAACGTTTCTTTTACAATGCAATCCCATGACCAGAACTCAACTTTATCTTTAACGCATATGCTGATGACCTCTTTGTTTTGTGGCCTCTTCTAAAAATGTATCTTCTATTAAAAGCATGTTACAGTAGCATGTCAACATGTTACTTCTCGGAATTAGCAATAATCAGATCCCGACTTACACCACTGTTACAACGGCCAACCCGACTCCGTAGAGTAGAGAAGTCGCTACGAGAATGAGGTTGAAAGTTAGATACTGGATCTGAAGGTTTGGAATCAAGAGACAGATGGAGTAGCCAATTGAAGCTACTGTGGTTAACGCCAGAGGGAGACAGCTATCTCGCATCTCGGCGTAAGGACCTTTGTCCTTTGGTTTCTCTGCGAAATGTCATGGAAAATTGAACATTAGCCATGAAGTGGTTTTTATTCCCTATCTGATTTCTGTTTCAAGAATTTATGAAAACGTCTGTTGGGTTAAGGTACCTCTGGCTCGCAACAGATTAGTATTAAAGGGACTGGGTAACTTTGTCTCAGATTCTGTAACAAAATTCTGGACTTAGCTCATGCCTCAATGATAATTATAAACCTTTAGGTCGGAAAACTAAGCCCAGTCGGAAAACCAATGACTTTTAAAAGCCGATCGCCTGTATGATTATCAAGATATTTATGATTGGAAATCGAAATCAAATTCTGCGTTTTCCTAATGCTTTTCATAACACTACAGTCTATTGGAGAAAACGAGTATGGTAAAACCGGTCACTCAAAGATTTTTACTTTTTTGAAGCACTTTATGATAATTTTGAAACGCAATTTATTTAGGGCTTCAATATTACGCCATCTCACAGACACTGATAAAACGTAGGGCCATGCATCTGGGATTTGTAAAACTGGAAAAATTGTTGAACAATGCCTTTAAGGATGTACATTATTAACAGAAAACGTGCGAAGATATAATCCTAATATCACTGATGCTAAAATAAAAACCCACGACACTGAAATTCACCCACACCCACATACACAAACAGACGCACACGCACACCACCACAGACACACACACACGCATCATCGTTATGCTCACCTACACAGAGTGAACTTACTGTACTATCAATTTGGTGTGAATGTTTTGACGTTGGATGGTAAACTATTATACTTACTGGATTTCGAACACAACATCGAGATGCTATTCCTATCCATGAGAAGACCACCAAGAGGACCAACGATGATGGTGAAGAACTGTGTAATAGCGAAGACGTTTGTGTACCAACTCACTAGATTATACAAAGAAATAATACTCATAATGACAAAAGACAACGGTGACAATAATGACGACGAATATAGTTAAGGTGATCACGGGATTTATTTTGTCAACAATTATGGTCATGGCTTGGGTTGCAAGTTTTGTATGTTCCATTGGGTTTGATGTTAGATTTGGGTTAGAGAGATGGTTAGGATAAGGTAAATAAGGTTTTGTTTAGGATTGAGGTGAGAAATTCGATGAGCATTGGAACAAAATGCGACTAATGATTGTAGCTCATATATCCTACATAGTCTGTACTAAAATAAGAACGACAACGTGGACTAGTACTTCTACTACTACAACAACTACTACTACTACTACTACTACTACTACTCAGTAGCGGATCTAGGATTTGCCGATAAGGGGGGGGGGGCTAAAATGTGAAAATCGCGCCGACCAATATTTCGCTCAGTGGGGGGCGGGGGGGGGGGGGTAGTGGGCATTATTTTATTTTCGTTTTGCCCCCGGGAATTCGAAATTCGCGCTGACCGTCTTTCGCTCAGTTTAGGGGGGGGGGGGGGGGTAGTGTGAGCACTAACTACTAACCTAGTTATATAAAAACATTTGTTTTTTGTTTTTTAATTAATTTAGAAAAAGGCCAGGGGGCCGGGACCGTCGCCCCCCCCCCCTCGTTGATCCGTGCCTGCTACTACTACTACTGCCGATATAATTATCTACCTTCATTACTGTAATTATATATATATATATATATATATATATGTGCCTTCTTATTTCTGTTTCTGTACTTGTACTGAATACATTGATTTACATATCCCACTTCTTGGTTGTAAGTGTTTAAAACTAAATAACCATTTAAACCTCGATGACATTACTTCTATGCAGCTTGAAATGAAAACTTAAGATTAAAATGAGCGGATCCCGGATTCTGATACATTGGACCCGCTTGCAATCTATCCCTGACTAGCAAGCAAGCAAGAAGAAAAAAAAGGGGGGGGGGAACTCAATTCGAAAGATGGATGGGGGGGGGGGCATATAATAGAGTTACATTTTTTTTCTGTGCCTAAGGTATGCCAAAATAAGTTTTGAAACGTAGCACGGGTCACTCTGTGCCCCCTAAATTCGTCATTGACCGTAACCATACTTGATATACCTACCGAGATCCTCATCACCGTTGGACAGTCTTGTCAAGAAGAAGTTCAGGGTTCCAAAGGTAAAGTAAACGTCCAACTGTAGGAATACCTGCCAGAGAAGTATCAGCCAAAATGGCATCGAAAGGAGGCATGACCTGAGGCTTCCATACTCCTCCTCCTTTCGTTCCTCAGCCTCGGAGATGCCACCGTCGACCGCCTCACTTTTTGTATCCATTGCAATTAACAGGCTCATTCTCCGACCTTCATAAATACTACTTTTCCTGCGTTCCGAACCAGTGTTAGTCTGCCTGGAGTACTCATTTACACCCATCACCTCGTCAGATTGGTTCTCTTGGTACCCTTGGTTATCGTATGCGCAATCTTCTGTCGCCTCTGGAGGGGTCCTAGGGGTACAACAGGTGATTAGTCTGTACCCCTCTGGAAGAGGCCAGGGGATATACTTGGTAGGAAGGACGAGGAAGGTGTTGATGTTGAAAAAGACAACGGAACCGGCCATGACGAAGAAGATAAGGTTGATCGAAAACCCGGCATCGTGCACTATCTAGACAGTAAAGGTGAATTAATCTTTGGTTACAGACTATGACCGAATGATTATTTTTTATAACAACGGCCATTATAATGATAACAATAATAATAATAGTCATCATCATGAAAGTAATACAATTAATGATAATGATAATAATAACACAATACAAATGATGATAATAATAATAGTGGAGTGTTATAGCACTCATGTCTGGCGCATTGGTACTCCTCCAATACTATTGCCCTGGGTTTAGCACGCCAGCTGCCATTACAATGCTCGAGCATTTTTAAGGAATAGTTCCTGCCAGGTACCCATTTACCTCACCTGGGTGGATTGAATGTAGATTCATGTCTTGCCAAATGACATTAGTGCTGCGACAGGGATTCGAACCCCGGCGTACGTGGTTTACAGTCTTGAAACTTCCGGTCGTCACAAAAAGTCAGACCTATGTCGCTTACATCAAAGTGTGCCAAAGTCTATGAGGGATTTGAAGCTAAATGGATCAAATATTGATCGTCATCAGTATGGGAGCTTGCAGGCTCCTCTACCATTCGCTGTTTACAAGGGGTCGGATAAGCCCAACTTTGTTGGAAATCTTTTAGTAACGGACTTCTCAAAAGCCTTTGACTCAGTTGACCACACCATGGTTGTTACCAAACTTCTAGAAATTGGAGTTCGCCGTGAAATCATTCCATGGATTGGTGATTTTCTGACTAACATGCAACAGAGAGTGAAGTACCAGAATGCTGTTCCTGCCTGGAAGGGTCTATCCTGTGGTGTCCCTCAGGGAACACAGATCGGCCCGCTGGCTTTTCTCGCACTTACCAACGATGCGCTAGGATCAACTGAGTTACATACTTGGAAGTATGTGGACGACCTTAGCATTGGAGAAACAATAATTGTGAATGAGCCATCTTGTCTGCAAGAGGTCGTCAATGAGCTTGGGCAATGGGCTGACCAAAATATACACCTGAATGCGGCCAAGTGCAAACAATTCCAGATTTGCTTCAAGCGATCACAACCATGCAGAGCCACCTGTCATAACCTTAGGCCCGGAAGTTTTGGATGTGGTAACTGAGACAAAGATTCTCGGTTTTTGGATTCAAGATGACCTGAAATGGGAAAAGCAGGTTAAAGAGATGATGTCAAAGAGCAAGCAAAGAGCACACATTGTAAGTCCTGCGTGCGGCCAGCTCTTGAATACGCGACACCGACCGGTGTGACACTCTGGACTCACCAAGCAACAGACTAGTGACCTGGAAAAGATATAGAAGAGAGCGATGAGGATCGTTCTTGGCCCTCATTATGAGACCTATTAAAATGCTCTCAGGAAAACCACGATGGAAACTTTGGAAGAAAGAAGGCATGACCTTAGTACAAAGTTTGCCGTCGCATGTGTGCAGCCGCAAAGGTACTCCGAATTGTTCCCAGTCAATGATACAAGTCATACCATGAATCTCCGTACAAGCAGAAAGTATAGAAAATGTTCATGCCAGGACCAAGTGGTATCAGAACTTTTCTCAGACAATTGTGTATATATCTGACAAGTCAGCCTCAGTTTAATCAATTCAATGGAAAATGCTGACGGTGATTATAAGGGTACTTTGGCAATTGATGAAATAGGAACAATTATGAAATAATTAGAAAGTTATGCAAATTAATATCAATTCGTGAAAGTACTAAAATGTTAATGATGAAATCCCACCTTGGCAATGAAAAAAAACAGAGTAACAGATCCACCATACATAGCGTTGATCAATGTTATAACGGTAGACTTCTGCCCTCCGAAAAGATTCGCAATCTGTAGAAAAAAAGAATCATCAAATGAACAGAAATGTTTTAAAGGTTCAAAGAATTTTAAGCCATTTGAAGCAAGATAATTAACACGTTATGAAAGATCTTGAAAAGTTTCTTGAATGACGATAATGGAAAAGCGTCCCGGGTGCAACTGGTCTGATATCCCCTGCACACGAAGCGCCATTCGCTGACTCATGACTGCGCTGCCACTTGGTGCAGGTGGGGTTAGAAATCGTATGTATGTACACAGTTACACACGTATGTATGTGCGTGTATGTGCGAGTGTGTGTGGGCGTTAAAGCGCGTGTGTGTGATACAGTGTTAATAAAATGTAAAATTTGGTGATCGTAAGTAATTGGATAACTGACCTGCATAGAAGAAAATAGCATGATGACTCCTCCAATGGTAAAACAGATGGTTCCGGGAAACACCAAAATAGAGTACGTTGGAGAACTGAATGCCATCAATACGTAGCCAATGAGTATAAGGATACTATTGGTAAGATTTAAAAAAAATAAAAGATATGAAGTATAACACAGCTGTAAAAAGACAAGCAAACACAAAGCAAACAAGAAACTTAAGTGATTGCAAAATGGTAGTTGACGGAATGAGAACGCATCAGTAGTAGACGTTTGTTAAATGCAATAGTAATTATAAGAAAACTAACTGTAACGTGTTCCAAATGAATTAAAATATCTTTTTAATTTCGCTTGGTAAAAAAGCAAGGAATATTTTATCAATGGAAAGCGATGTGTCTGTAATAGTACTGTATAGTTGAGACTCTGGACTCGCAGTTCGACTACTGCTTGGTCCTAACACTCTTGAGTAATGTGTTTTGCCCATATTTGTCTCTCGATCTTCCAGGTGTATTAAATGGATACTTGGTAATACAAGGATCGCAGGAGAATGCAATATTATTACACATGTGGCTACCGTTAACCCTTTGGAAAAAAATACAAAATTATGTTGACAATGAGCCGACTGTAAGCCTAAATTCATTTCCTAATAGAAAGTTTATGCTTCGACTACACTGTTCAACTGTTGCGTTGGAAACCTACCTCATGAAGACGCGGGATAATCGGGTACCAAAGTAATCGAACATGAACCCAACAGGAAACATGCATGTAGCTTGCACGGCTGCACTGATAGAGAAGACGAGTTGTAGGCGACTCTCCTGTTCTGGACAAGATTCAACAACGCCTGATTTGCTGAGATTTTGAGCATCGGTAATATTGTTAAGCTATTGAAATACATGGAAGATATAAAGATGGGAGGTGTCGTGGTAAAGCGATTCCTTTCAAATGAATATCAATCAAAGGGGCGGATTTTTATGGGGGGGGGGGGGGTCACAACCGAACCATGCTCCACGTTCGAAACCTAAAGGTCCGAATTCACAAAGGAGGTTTGTTGACAAACCTAGGTTTTCGTGCGTCATATGACGCGTTTCGACGCGTTTTTACAAACCAGGTTTGAGATCATACCTTTAATCTTAAAATGTGCTCCATGAGGTGATGATTTTCTTATTTGCCTGTCAGAGACCAACCAAAAAAAAATCGTTGAAAAAATAGGGGAAGGATCTTTATTTGTTGGAAGGGGGGTGGGGCTTGTCAACAATTTCAAGAATATTGTGCCCTCTCTATTAGAAAATCATGGATTCACCCCTGTTTTATGAACAAATAGTAAGATTCTAGGACGGCAGATCCTGGCATTGCTCAGGAAATGCAAACTTTGAGAAGGAATGAATTTTCAGTTATGTCGGGAAGATCAGGATAGGAAGAATATTAATATGAAAGTACGACTAAACATCAAATCATTCGTCACAATTAAACGACAAGCAAAAGTTTAACGATTGCATGATTGAAAGTTATTGAATGTGTGCCCCAAAGGGTTAATAAAATATAGGCCCAAACTGCAATTATTGACACAGGTATAACTATGTGCCTCTTACTTGTAAGGAAGATGTCGCATTTTCCCTGGTGTCGCTACATAATTCACTGAAATAGCCAAGCTGGATCAAGACAAAGACCAGAGAGGGCCAGCCAAAGATAATGCATCCGTGTATCAGATTCTCAAAACATGCAAATAGGAGAGCAAGGAGCCGCTCAATAATTAGGACAGCCTTCATCGTCACGTTGATTGAATTCGAGCCCGTTTCAGATAACAGACATCACTCTCGTCATGTGAGCAGATAAAGGTATTTGGAGACCTACAAATGAAAACGAAAATAGCAAGAAAACAAACACACAAAAAACAAAGAAGCAAATGCAAATCAACGCTAAACACATTTAAATTTGGCGCACATGATATCACTGGGCTATATACAAACTGACTTATGGTTTACTCTGACCAAAGAACAAAATATGATCACGTGACTTGTAATTGTATCGGGAGATAAAATTATAGCATGTGGATCGAGATATATTAATTCCACGCTAAGAGAATAAGCGAAACCTATTCTATGAGTGAAATGCTCTTTCAGTTCAAGATTATGCTTCTAAAGTCCTTGAATGACTGTTTGACGCATTACATTTCTAACCATATCATGGCAGCATATTTTCTCGGAGACAATAACCGTTAAAAAGGGAGATAGACAGCGTAAAAGAATGAACTTTGATTGTCACTATATCCATGAACACACACGGTGTTTTGAAATTCTGGTTCCTATTATATTTTTTTATTAATGTAATCCTGTTCAGTGATTGGTCAACATAGCATTATGTGACAAAACATAACATTGCTCTGATGCTACCGATAAGAAAAATGTGCTTTACCGTTTAGTCATCCATGGTATAGTATAGATGACGTCATAGATATGCGATCGATCAAGGTTAATAATATTGTTATTACTAGTATTATTATTTTATGAAGGTTGGTTTGACAAATATAAACAAATAAAGCATGCACTATTTCAAGCCACTAGTGAAGCTATGGATTCCTCGGCGACAGAAATAGCACTATTCTCTTCAGGGCTACACCCCTCAGAAAAAAAATGCTATTCCTGCCACCTCGATCCTTAATTTCAACTAGAGCCTCTTAGTGCATAGTATATTTGTCTATTCTCAAATAATACGATCAAACATCAACCCAAGCACGACATAGAATTGTATTATGTTGCCTTTTTTCCCCCATATAATTACACATTCAAAATCATTATCTGTTCGTGACGATACAGGGGAAAATATTTCTTTTGAATTCTTGTCTTTCACCCATACTTTTCAATTGAATTGATTATTTGTTCATGACGATTCCAGATGAGAATTGTGGAATTCTAGTTTTGACTATTCAAGGTTCACTTATTTGGATCAGCTTTGCAACACAAACATGATACGGATATTCAGCAGTGTGGGTTGGTGTATGCATGGACCTACCCCATGGTGTATGTGTACAGGCTTGTGTAGTCATGTCGAATTCATCTCATTTTTTAAAATTATCCCCTTCTAATTATTTTTTGTAATTTCATCACGGTTTTAACAATAATCTCATAATTCCTTTGTATATTGCCATGATTACTGACGTGCATCGTTGGAATAATAAAACGTATTGAACGAGGAAAGGAACAAATATGTTAACATTGAACAAATATGTACTGGTAATGTAATTGCCTATGCCCTCACAGTGACCATAATAACGTAGGAATACTTCCCAGGGAGTGGAGATGGTGCCGATTGTGCGTGAATGAATCCGATGACAGGGGTAAAAATATATCTGTAAAGCGCTTAGACACGGTGTTCCATTTTAAGCGCTATATATATATATATATATATATATATATCCAGATTGCTATAACTATCATTACCAAAGGAAATGATAGGGCACTGATTTCATAGATAAGAAAGACTTATGTATATATGCCTGAATGTCCATGCGTTGAGCAATTAAAGTGAGTTCTTGTGCAAGGGGGATTTATTATGAATATCATTTTAGCAGAAATGATTTTACCAAGAGAAATGTAAACATAACAAAATAAGACTTACCAGCATTGTAATGTACGTATTTTAAAGACTGTGTGATCTTTGGTTGCAAAGGTGCGATGACAGCGGTGACTTCCAATACCGCAAAAGTTCTGTTAGCATGTGTTTGTGCGAGTCGGAACATTGCCCACGGCCACCCGATACCAACAACACCCATACAGTCTAGACTCTTAGCAAGTAGTTTCATTGGAATTAATCGTGAAATTCCCCTCGCTAGCGTGTAAAAGAAAACTACGCCGCCAGGGAGGGGAGACTGCTATAACTAGCGTTGGCCATCATTATCATGGACCTATCATATCAAGGAGCAGAGCCGTCGGCACCCCCTCTCGTTGTGTCTCACGATGTTCCTCTCCCTCCCCCTCTGTGGCCCGAATTCACAAAGGATGTTTGTCGACAAACCTTGGTTTTCGTGCGTCATATGACGCGTTTCGACGCGTTTTTACAAACCAGGTTTGTAAAAACCAGGTTTGTAAAAAAAACGCGTCATATGACGTACACAAAGCTAGGTTTGTCGACAAACCTTCTTTGTGAATTCGGGTCATTATGTCTGTATGCGGGTCTCTCTCTCTCTCTCTCTGTCTCCACGTACAGTCCACATAGGCCAAGTTCGAACATTTGCATTGTGTACTATTTTCATTCATTGAATCTAATCATCCGATGAAAAGATTTCATGAATTTGCTTTGATAAACAAAAATGCCTCGGCAAAATTTGATGATATAATTCAGGGTAGTCCAAAAGATACATGCAGACAGTGCATAAATACACATTAAAGCCCATATCCAATATTGAAAAACATCTTAAGACGCAGATATTTATTCTTTGACTCAAAGCGTACTTGGGAAAAGCCTAATTAAAGCCCCAAATATTGTACACTTTTTGTTTTTTTGTTCTTCGACTCAATACGTTCATTTAAATTGCTTTTTTTCAATTTAATACCTTACGCAAAAAAAAATAATTAAAGATAAAACAACCGACTCGAAAGTCATAATTACTCTTTTTCATTCAATCACAATGAATATATATATTTTAAAGC